GAGATTTCTAGTAGAAAGCATACGGGGTACCGAGGTAATTGTATGATGATGAAACTTTAATTGGAGCAAGCTTGTAGGTCCACTTTTCCGTTCTAGAAAGTCTGCCCCCATGTTTAAATACAACAATACTTGCCTTGTTTAAATTTACTTGGAGACTCCATGTTTCGCAGTAGTTCTCTAAAATATCAATTTGCTTTTGGAGTCCAATTACCATATCAGAAAACAGAACAAAGTCATCAGCAAATAAAAGAAGGAACAGCTCGAGTAAGTCTGGGAATAACTGAACGCCATTTGTACAAGTGGACGTGATTTCATCGACCAATTCATTAATGAAAAATGAGAACAGAAATGGACTGAGAACACAACCTTGCCGTACCCCTAGGGAACATTCAAATACTTCTGTGTTTACATTATTCGATGAACGTACACATGCTTTCACGTTTTGGTACACAGACCGCAACACTTTATCCATTTTTTAACCAAGTCTGTTCTTTTGAATAGATACAAGAGCTTTTGTCTGTTGACAGAATCGAATGCTTTTGAAAAATCAATAAAACAAGCATAGAGTTTTCCACCCTTTTTTGAGATTTATTTACTGATAAGGGCCTGTAAAGTAAAGATATTGTCAATGGTAGAGTATCTTCATCTGAAACCTGCTTGTTCCTCTTTAATTGTATTGCAGCACTCAGCCCAGAATACAAGTCTATTGTTTAAGATATTAGTATATGGTTTTGCCAAATACACTGAGAAGTGATATGGCAGGTGAAGGTTTATCTCCATTTTTATGATGAGAGTTTCAGGAGGTTGACGGGGTATAAGGAGGAGCGTGCTGGCTGTCATATGGTTACATGGAGGTTACACTTGGTATTGACCTTGAATCATGTAAGACACGCAATGGTTTTGCAACAAAAATTTTCCGTCGTGGTCACCATGAGAAGTTACATGTACATGTTGAAAACCTATCATTGCCAAAATACAGGAAGTGCTTAATTAAGTTCTTTGTGTATATTACATATTTAGGGGTCCTGTATGCTCTGATGATGTGTTTTGTTCCAGGTCAGGATATAGTCAGTTTATATAAGAATTTTGAAGGCGTCGAAAGGTTGGTCATCGTGTTTGTCGGCCCACACTTGGGCAATGCGGTAATGTGCAATACTTGGCATAATTTCCCAAAAGAGATTCTAGGACAGTGTAGACAGTGCACACACATACATGGGTGTGAGTAGGCAGTGCACACATACATGGGTGTGAGTAGGCAGTGCACACATACATGAGTAGGCAGCAGTGCACACACATACATGGGTGTGAGTAGGCAGTGCACACACATGGGTGTGAGTAGGCAGTGCACACATACATGAGTGTGAGTAGGCAGTGCACACACATACATGGGTGTGAGTAGGCAGTGCACACACATGTTTGAGGAAGTAGTGCAGATACATGTGTGTGAGGAAGTAGTGCAGATACAAGTGTGTGAGGAAGTAATGCAGAGACATACATGTGTGTGTGAGGAATTAGTGGAGATACATACATGTGTGTGAGGAAGTAGTGCAGAAACATACATGTGTGTGAGGAAGTAGTGCAGATACATGTGTGTGAGGAAGTAGTGCAGATACATGTGTGTGAGGAAGTAGTGCAGAGACATACATGTGTGTGAGGGAGTTAGTGGAACAGATACATGTGTGTGAGGAAGTAGTGCAGAAACATACATGTGTGTGAGGAAGTAGTCAGAATACATGTGTGTGAGGAAGTAGTGCAGATACATGTGTGTGAGGAAGTAGTGCAGATACATGTGTGTGAGGAAGTAGTGCAGATACATGTGTGTGAGAGGAAGTAGTGCAGATACATGTGTGTGAGGAAGTAGTGCAGATACATGTGTGTGAGGAAGTAGTGCAGATACATGTGTGTGAGGAAGTAGTGCTGATACATGTGTGTGAGGAAGTAGTGCAGATACATGTGTGTGAGGGGAAGTAGTGCAGATACATGTGTGTGAGGGGAAGTAGTGCAGATACATGTGTGTGAGGGAAGTAGTGCAGATACATGTGTGTGTGAGGAAGTAGTGCAGATACATGTGTGTGAGGAAGTAGTGCAGATACATGTGTGTGAGGAAGTAGTGCAGATACATGTGTGTGAGGAGTGAGTAGTGCAGATACATGTGTGTGAGGAGAGTAAGTGCAGATACATACATGTGTGAGGAAAGTAGTGCAGATACATGTGTGTGTGAGAAAGTAGTGCAGATACATGTGTGTGAGGAAGTAGTGCAGATACATGTGTGTGTGAGGGAAGTAGTGCAGATACATGTGTGTGAGGAAGTAGTGCAGATACATGTGTGTGAGGGAAGTAGTGCAGATACATGTGTGTGAGGAAGTGAAGTGCAGATACATGTGTGTGAGGGAAGTAGTGCAGATACATGTGTGTGAGGAAGTGTGCAGATACATACTGTGTGTGTGAGGAAGTAGTGCAGATACATGTGTGTGTGAGGAAGTAGTGCAGATACATGTGTGTGAGGAAGTAGTGCAGATACATGTGTGTGAGAGAGTAAAGTGGTGCAGATACATGTGTGTGAGGAGGGAGTAGTGCAGATACATGTGTGTGTGAGGAAGTACATGTGCAGATACATGTGTGTGAGGAAGTAGTGCAGATACATGTGTGTGAGGAAGTAGTGCAGATACATGTGTGTGAGGGGAAGTAGTGCAGATACATGTGTGTGAGGAAGTAGTGCAGATACATGTGTGTGAGGAAGTAGTGCAGATACATGTGTGTGAGGAAGTAGTTAGAGATACATGTGTGTGGGGAAGTAGTGCAGATACATGTGTGAGGAAGGAAGTACAGATACATGTGTGTGTGAGGAAGTAGTGCAGATACATGTGTGTGAGGAAGTAGTGCAGATAGATATGTGTGTGTGTGAGGAAGTATGATGCAGATACATGTGTGTGTGAGGAAGTGGTGCAGATACATGTGTGTGAGAGAAAGTAGTGCAGATACATGTGTGTGAGGAAGTAGTGCAGATACATGTGTGTGTGAGAAAGTAGTGCAGATACATGTGTGTGAGGAAGTAGTGCAGATACATGTGTGTGAAGGGAAATGGTGTGCAGATACATGTGTGTGTGAGGAAGTAGTGCAGATACATGTGTGTGTGAAATGTCTGAGGAAATGTCTGAGACATACATGTGTGAGGAAGTGGTGCAGATACATACATGTGTGTGAGGAAGTGGTCTGAATCATACATGTGTTTGAGTGCACAGATACATACATGTGTGTGAGGAAGTAGTGCAGATACATGTGTTTGAGGGAAGTAGTGCAGATACATGTGTGTGAGGAAGTAGTGCAGATACATGTGTGTGAGGAAAGTAGTGCAGATACATGTGTGTGAGGAAGTAAAAGATACATGTGATACATGTGTTTGATACATGTGTGTGAGGAGTAATGCAAGAGACATACATGTGTGAGGAAGTAGTGCAGATACATACATGTGTGTGTGAGGAAGTAATGCAGAGACATACATGTGTGTGAGGAAGTAGTACAGAGACATACATGTGTGTGAGGAAGTAGTGGAGATACATACATGTGTGTGTGAGGAAGTAGTGTAGATACATACATGTGTGTGTGAGGAAGAAGTGCAGAAACATACATGTGTGTGAGGAAGTAGTGCAGATACATGTGTGTGAGGAAGTAGTGCAGATACATGTGTGTGAGGAAGTAGTGCAGATACATGTGTGTGAGGAAGTAGTGCAGATACATGTGTTTGAGGAAGTAGTGCAGATACATGTGTGTGAGGAAGTAGTGCAGATACATGTGTGTGAGGAAGTAGTGCAGAGACATACATGTGTGAGGAAGTAGTGCAGATACACACATGTGTGTGAGGAAGTAGTGCAGAGACATACATGTGTGTGAGGAAGTAGTGCAGAGACAGACATGTGTGAGGAAGTAGTGCAGATACATACATGTGTGTGAGGAAGTAATGCAGATACATACATGTGTGTGAGGAAGTAGTGCAGAGACATACATGTGTGGGGAACTAGTGCAGAGACATACATGTGTGTGTGAGGAAGTAGTGGAGATACATGTGTGTGAGGAAGTAGCAGAGCTGTCAACCCCTAAAGATAGTTTGGAGTGAGACTGAAAAAAATAAGCCGGGCTCCAGGGGCCCGAAGTCCCTGGTCATGTCGAGGGCGACGCCCTGGTGGGGGGTCTCTGGGAGGCGAAGCCCCCCCGCCCCCGAAAATGAAGTTTAGTGATTTTCAGGAGCATTTGGAGCCTTCTGGTGGCATTATTTTGACACTAAAAGATGCATGCTAATAAATAATAATAAGCAGAATCATTCGCATAAACATCGTTTTAGTACTTCGTTCATTCAGGAGTTCTTTCAATGTTCAACTTTACGCAAAAACGAACAAAAATGCTTATTAATTTTGAAATTATTTTGGGCTACCAGATATGCGTGAGATTATTATTTGGAGGCGCGAGAGCGTGACATTTGTCAATAAACGTGAGACTCACGCCAAATGCGTGAGAGTTGACAGGTATGAAGTAGTGGAGATACATACATGTGTGTGAGGAAGTAATGCAGATACATACATGTGTGTGAGGAAGTAATGCAGATACATACATGTGTGTGAGGAAGTAATGCAGATACATACATGTGTGTGAGGAAGTAATGCAGATACATACATGTGTGTGAGGAAGTAATGCAGATACATACATGTGTGTGAGGAAGTAATGCAGATACATACATGTGTGTGAGGAAGTAATGCAGATACATACATGTGTGTGAGGAAGTAATGCAGATACATACATGTGTGTGAGGAAGTAATTTATAAATATGCTCTTGCTTGGATTGACACGATACTGAATGAATGTATAAAGTGGAGATGAGTTGATTCCACTAATTTGATTCTGTCCCATTACACAACCTGTGGTTTGCGAAACTACACATGCAGATAGCCTTTGTGTGGCAACCTACTGGTATATGTGCTGCATGTTGTGCATGTGTCTTTCTCCAGCCCTCCGCCCTACAGACCCAGCCTCAGTTTTAGTTTGAATGACCTTCGAGATGTTGGACCTCGTTTTGTGCAGCGAGGATGGGCGTCACAGGTTGCTGCTTCCTGTGTTGATGTCCGACAAAGTCCTGCTCGGCATGACTCGCATGGCATAGGTATGTACCACTGATGGACAACATGTGGGGCCTTTAACTTTTAAATACACTTTAATATTTCAATAAACGTAATATGTCACTAACTATAAGGACAAGTAACTCACGTACTGGAATATCTCACTCATTGTAGGGACAAGTAACCCTCCCCACTGGAATATCTCACTCAGTATATGGACCAGTAACCCTCCCCACTGGAATATCTCACTCAGTGTGATGACCAGTAACCCTCCCCACTGGAATATCTCACTCAGTGTGGGGACAAGTAACCCTCCCCACTGGAATATCTCACTCAGTGTGGGGATCAGTAACCCTCCCCACTGGAATATTTCATTCAGTGTGGTGATCAGTTACCCTCCCCAATAGAATATCTCACTCAATGTCAGCACAAGTAACTCAGCCTGTTGCATATCGCAGTCAGTGTAGGCACCAGTAACCCTCCCCACTGGAATATCTCACTCAGTGTGGTGATCAGTAACCCTCCCCACTGGAATATCTCACTCAGTGTGATGATCAGTAACCCTCCCCACTGGAATATCTCACTCAGTGTGATGACCAGTAACCCTCCCCACTGGAATATGTCACTCAGTGTGATGACCAGTAACCCTCCCCGATGGAATATCTCACTCAGTATATGGACCAGTAACCCTCCCCACTGGAATATCTCACTCAGTGTGATGACCAGTAACCCTCCCCACTGGAATATCTCACTCAGTGTGGGGACCAGTAACCCTCCCCCTCCCCACTGTGAATATCCCCAGTGGAATATCTCACTCAGTGTGGTGATCAGTAACCCTCCCACTGGAATATCTCACTCAGTATATGGACCAGTAACCCTCCCCACTGGAATATCTCACTCAGTGTGGTGATCAGTAACCCTCCCCACTGGAATATCTCACTCAGTGTGGTGATCAGTAACCCTCCCCACTGGAATATCTCACTCAGTGTGGTGATCAGTAACCCTCCCCACTGGAATATCTCACTCAGTATATGGACCAGTAACCCTCCCCACTGGAATATTTCACTCAGTGTGGTGATCAGTAACCCTCCCCACTGGAATATCTCACTCAGTGTGGTGATCAGTAACCCTCCCCACTGGAATATCTCACTCAGTGTGGTGATCAGTAACCCTCCCCACTGGAATATCTCACTCAGTGTGGTGATCAGTAACCCTCCCCACTGGAATATCTCACTCAGTGTGGGGACCAGTAACCCTCCCCACTGGAATATCTCACTCAGTGTGGGTCAGACCCTCCCCAGAATATCTCACTCAGTGTGGTGACAGTAACCCTCCCCACTGGAATATCTCACTCAGTGTGGTGATCAGTAACCCTCCCCACTGGAATATCTCACTCAGTGTGGTGATCAGTAACCCTCCCCACTGGAATATCTCACTCAGTGTGGTGATCAGTAACCCTCCCCACTGGAATATCTCACTCAGTGTGGTGATCAGTAACCCTCCCCACTGGAATATCTCACTCAGTGTGGTGACCAGTAACCCTCCCCACTGGAATATCTCACTCAGTGTGGTGACCAGTAACCCTCCCCACTGGAATATCTCACTCCAGTGTGATATTTCACTCAGTGTGGTGATCAGTAACCCTCCCCACTGGAATATCTCACTCAGTGTGGTGATCAGTAACCCTCCCCACTGGAATATCTCACTCAGTGTGGTGATCAGTAACCCTCCCCACTGGAATATCTCACTCAGTGTGGTGACCAGTAACCCTCCCCACTGGAATATTTCACTCAGTGTGGTGATCAGTAACCCTCACCCACTGGAATATTCTCACTCAGTGTGGTGATCAGTAACCCCTCCCCACTGGAATATCTCACTCAGTGTGGTGATCAGTAACCCTCCCCACTGGAATATCTCACTCAGTGTGGTGATCAGTAACCCTCCCCACTGGAATATCTCACTCAGTGTGGTGATCAGTAACCCTCCCCACTGGAATATCTCACTCAGTGTGGGATCAGTAACCCTCCCCACTGGAATATCTCACTCAGTGTGGTGATCAGTAACCCTCCCCACTGGAATATCTCACTCCAGTGTGGTGATCAGTAACCCTCCCCACTGGAATATCTCACTCAGTGTGGTGATCAGTAACCCTCCCCACTGGAATATCTCACTCAGTGTGGTGATCAGTAACCCTCCCACTGGAATATTTCACTCAGTGTGGTGATCAGTAACCCTCCCACTGGAATATTTCACTCAGTGTGGTGATCAGTAACCCTCCCCACTGGAATATCTCACTCAGTGTGGTGATCAGTAACCCTCCCACTGGAATATCTCACTCAGTGTGGTGATCAGTAACCCTCCCCACTGGAATATCTCACTCAGTGTGGTGATCAGTAACCCTCCCCACTGGAATATCTCACTCAGTGTGGTGATCAGTAACCCTCCCCACTGGAATATCTCACTCAGTGTGGTGATCAGTAACCCTCCCCACTGGAATATCTCACTCAGTATATGGACCAGTAACCCTCCCCACTGGAATATCTCACTCAGTGTGGTGATCAGTAACCCTCCCCACTGGAATATCTCACTCAGTGTGGTGATCAGTAACCCTCCCCACTGGAATATCTCACTCAGTGTGGTGATCAGTAACCCTCCCCACTGGAATATCTCACTCCAGTGTGGTGATCAGTAACCCTCCCCACTGGAATATCTCACTCGAGTATATGGGAATATCTCACTCAGTGTGGTGATCAGTAACCCTCCCCACTGGAATATCTCACTCAGTGTGGTGACCAGTAACCCTCCCCACTGGAATATCTCACTCAGTGTGGTGATCAGTAACCCTCCCCACTGGAATATCTCACTCAGTGTGGTGATCAGTAACCCTCCCCACTGGAATATCTCACTCAGTGTGGTGATCAGTAACCCTCCCCACTGGAATATCTCACTCAGTGTGGTGACCAGTAACCCTCCCCACTGGAATATCTCACTCAGTGTGGTGATCAGTAACCCTCCCCACTGGAATATCTCACTCAGTGTGGTGATCAGTAACCCTCCCCACTGGAATATCTCACTCAGTGTGGTGACCCTCCCAGTAACCCTCTCACTCAGTGGTGATACCCTCCCACTGGAATATCTCTCAGTGTGGTGACCAGTAACCCTCCCCACTGGAATATCTCACTCAGTGTGGTGATCAGTAACCCTCCCCACTGGAATATCTCACTCAGTGTGGTGATCAGTAACCCTCCCCACTGGAATATCTCACTCAGTGTGGTGATCAGTAACCCTCCCCACTGGAATATCTCACTCAGTGTGGTGATCAGTAACCCTCCCCACTGGAATATTTCACTCAGTGTGGTGATCAGTAACCCTCCCCACTGGAATATCTCACTCAGTGTATATGACCAGTAACCCTCCCCACTGGAATATCTCACTCCAGTGTGGTGATCAGTAACCCTCCCCACTGGAATATTTCACTCAGTGTGGTGATCAGTAACCCTCCCCACTGGAATATCTCACTCAGTGTGGTGATCAGTAACCCTCCCCACTGGAATATTTCACTCAGTGTGGTGATCAGTAACCCTCCCCACTGGAATATCTCACTCAGTGTGATCTGATCAGTAACCCTCCCCCCACTGGAATATCTCACTCAGTGTGGTGATCAGTAACCCTCCCCACTGGAATATTTCACTCAGTGTGGTGACCAGTAACCCTCCCACTGGAATATTTCACTCAGTGTGGTGATCAGTAACCCTCCCCACTGGAATATCTCACTCAGTGTGGGGACCAGTAACCCTCCCCACTGGAATATTTCACTCAGTGTGGTGATCAGTAACCCTCCCCACTGGAATATCTCACTCAGTGTGGTGATCAGTAACCCTCCCCACTGGAATATTTCACTCAGTGTGGTGATCAGTAACCCTCCCCACTGGAATATCTCACTCAGTGTATGGACCAGTAACCCTCCCCACTGGAATATTTCACTCAGTGTGGTGATCAGTAACCCTCCCCACTGGAATGAAATATCTCACTCAGTATATGGACTCAGTAACCCTCCCCACTGGAATATTTCACTCAGTGTGGGGACCAGTAACCTCCCCACTGGAATATTTCACTCAGTGTGGTGATCAGTAACCCTCCCCACTGGAATATTTCACTCAGTGTGGTGACCAGTAACCCTCCCCACTGGAATATCTCACTCAGTGTGGTGACCAGTAACCCTCCCCACTGGAATATCTCACTCAGTGTGGTGACCAGTAACCCTCCCCACTGGAATATCTCACTCAGTGTGGTGATCAGTAACCCTCCCCACTGGAATATTCACTCACTCAGTGTGGTGATCAGTAACCCTCCCCACTGGAATATCTCACTCAGTGTGGTGATCAGTAACCCTCCCCACTGGAATATCTCACTCAGTGTGGTGATCAGTAACCCTCCCACTGGAATATCTCACTCAGTGTGGTGACCAGTAACCCTCCCACTGGAATATCTCACTCAGTGTGGTGATCAGTAACCCTCCCCACTGGAATATCTCACTCAGTGTGGTGATCAGTAACCCTCCCCACTGGAATATCTCACTCAGTCAGTGTGGTGACCAGTAACCCTCCCCACTGGAATATCTCACTCAGTGTGATGGACCAGTAACCCTCCCCACTGGAATATCTCACTCAGTGTGGTGACCAGTAACCCTCCCCACTGGAATCTCACTCTGAAAAGTCACTGGTGACCAGTAACCCTCCCCACTGGAATATCTCACTCAGTGTGGTGATCAGTAACCCTCCCCACTGGAATATCTCACTCAGTGTGGTGATCAGTAACCCTCCCACTGGAATATCTCACTCAGTGTGGTGACCAGTAACCCTCCCCACTGGAATATCTCACTCAGTGTGGTGACCAGTAACCCTCCCCACTGGAATATCTCACTCAGTGTGGTGATCAGTAACCCTCCCACTGGAATATCTCACTCAGTGTGGTGATCAGTAACCCTCCCCACTGGAATATTTCACTCAGTGTGGTGACCAGTAACCCTCCCCACTGGAATATC